AAACATGTTTAGCGTCCTGTTTTTTCGAAAAATAGGAAGGAGGAGGCCCTTTTTATTTTTATTTTTTTCTTTTAAAATGGCCGCTCGGTACATTTTCCCTGACAGTTGGGGCTATTTTTTTTCAAGATGGCCGCCGACTTTTTTTTTTTTTTTTAAATCAGAAATAAAGCCATTTTAGCAGTGTTTTTCATGTTTTTTTTCTTTCAAAAAAAAAAAAAAAAAAAAGGAGGCGGCCCCCAAAAAGGAAGCGGGCGGGGACGCTAAACAAGTAATTTTTTTAAAATGGCCTTAGTTTCAATGGATCTGTAAAGATATAAATGAATTGTGAGTTAGGGGTTAGAATAATCATGCATTGGTACATTTATGAAAATGCAATTAAACTTAGTACAAGTATTTATGTATTTCATAATGAAAAATTCAAAGGCACAGAACAAGTGTGTACAAAAGTATGATAGCAAAAAAGATGACGACGAACGGATGGTGAAACGACGGAGTCATCAAAGAGCTGTCAAGGTGCATGAAATGTAAACCACTCAATGGGAAGGCAAATAATTAGAGTTATTTTATTCTTAGATATATTGGGTGTGCATACATAAAATAAAACATAAAAACACAGAAAAGAAAATAGTAAAGGAACAATTTTTTGAAGAAAAAAATAAAAAGGAAAGAGAAAAATAATGTAGATCTAGATCTAGGTAATAATAATAAATAATAATAATGTGACTTATATCGCGCCAAATCCACTCTGTGGAGTGCTCAAGGCGCGTGTAAACAGGAAAAACTATCAAGACTTGAAAAGGAATGTTTTGAGATGAGTTTTGAAAGAATCAGAAGATAAACATTTTTTGATGTCTTCAGGATTAAGGCCATTCCATAATTTAGAACTAGAGTATGAAAATGATCTTTCCCCCCACGTTTTGGTAATTTTGGGGGTCACAAGAAAATTGGAAGTGGATGAGCGAAGAGGTCTTGCAGGAGTGTAGTTTTGGATTAGAGAGATAAGCTATTGAGGAGCAGAGCCGTGAACGCAATGAAAGGTAAGCAACAAAATTTTGAAAACAATGCAATCTTTTACTGGGAGCCAGTGTAGCGACTGCAAAACTGGGGAAATGTGGGTACGCTTGGTGGTCAGAGAAACAATATGAGCTGCAGCGTTTTGAAGCTTCTGGAGTTTGGACAGAAGATTCTGGGTGTCATGATAATGAATATGTATCAGATTATGCAAATGTGACACCTGTGACCTCAGGAGGTCAAATCGCATGTGCGCGATGTATATGGGATACGCGTGACTTGATACCCAGTGCGGGGAATAAACACCAGACTATGGTTTATGGAATTCAACTACTTTGTTAGTTTGTTTGCACTTAATATGTGACATTGGCGACGAGGATTAATGTTTCTTGGATGTTGAATCTGTGGCTACAAGCTGGAAAAGTTTCAACATGGCATTCGCTGGAGCGGAATTGTTAGCGCTTCGAGGAGTTCCACACTTCGATCCGACGGGTGGTGCAAGTATTGTCAGCGGCAAGTGGAAAGCTTGGCTTGAAGAGTTCGAAGCCTACGCCGATAGTCGCGGCCTGTTTCTGGACGGATGTGCACCGGCCCAGGAGGCGCAACGGAGAGCACTGTTGCTGTACACTGCGGGGCCTGTGGTAAGGGAGACTTTCAAAACACTTCCCAATAAAGGAGAGAGGAATGAGTATCAAAAAGCCACAGATGCCCTAAATGCTCATTATGTTGTCAAACCTAATGCTACGTTTCAAAGACATTTGTTCAGGAAAACAAAGCAGGAAGATGGTGAAACGGTTGCCCAATTTGTTACCAAATTACGACAGGTTGCTATTGGATGCAATTTCGTAGCTGGGGATGTAGAAAACCAAATTCTTGACCAAGTAGTTCAGTACTGCAGAGCTGATAAACTTCGCAGGGGAATGCTGGAGAAAGGAGGTGAGCTCAAGTTAAATGATGCATTGTCCATGGCTGCTGCTCTAGAAGCTGTTGAAGGTCAATTTAACTCCATGTCATTGAGAGAGAGAGAAAGGCCTAGAGCTGGTGGGCAAGGACAAGTGAATCAAGTATCATACGAGAATGACAGAAAAAAGAATTTGGAATGCTACCGATGTGGGAACAAAGGACATTTTGGGAAGGATGCATCATGTCCAGCCAAAGGAAAGATCTGTCGGAAATGTGGAGGCCAAAACCACTTTGCGACGATGTGCAAAAGTAAGGCCAAGAGCACAAGTGAGGCGAGAGGAAAATTCAGAGATGGGAAGTCCAGAGATGGAAAGAAGTATAAGAATAGAGTTCGCCAAGTGGAAGGTGAACCCGGAAATGATAGTGATGATGACAACAGCCGTGGCCGTGATCAGAGGTACTATCAATTTGCTGTGAATGGTGATCATGAGAAAGTCCCAATAATCATTGGAGGTGTCACAGTCCCAGTGATAGTAGATTCGGGAAGTGATTGCAATGTAATAGATCAGATATTGTGGGAGAAACTGAAGAAGGACAAAATCATCTGCAAATCTACTAAGAGTACCAAGAGGCTTTATCCATACACATCACATATACCATTAACGACCGTTGGATGTTTCACAGCCACCGTAGAAGTTGGCAAGATGAAGTCGACTGCAGAGTTTGTTGTCATCAAAGAAAAGGGAGAACCTTTACTGAGCAAACATACGTCTAGAGAGCTGGGAGTGCTCCAGGTGGGAATTGTACATGTAAATGTGGTACAGAGCTATGCAGGTTTAAAGCATGAGTTTGAAGCAGTCTTCAAAGGAGTAGGAAAGTTGAAGGGCCGACAGGTGCGGTTAGCAGTGGATGAAACGGTGAAGCCAGTGGCCCAGCCTGTGCGAAGGACTCCATTTGGACTGAGAAAGAAGGTCGAGATGAAGATCGCGGAATTGATTGATCTTGACATCATTGAGCCAGTTGAACGCTCCACTCCATGGGTAAGCCCAGTTGTCATAGTTCCAAAGAGAAATGACGAAATTAGACTTTGTATCGATATGCGGAGAGTGAACGAAGCAATCGTAAGAGAACGTCACCCCATTCCCACTATTGAGGAAGTCCTACAGGAGCTGTCGATTAGCAAGGTCTTTTCGAAAATAGACCTGAAGTGGGGGTACCACCAACTGGAGTCACATCCGGAGTCTAGAGAGGTGACAACCTTTGTCACTCATTGTGGGTTGTTCCGCTATAAGAGACTGTTGTTCGGAATCAATGCTGCTCCAGAGATTTATCAATATGAGATACACAGAGTGATAGCTGGGATAGAAGGAGCTGCGAACATATCAGATGACATCATTGTGCATGCATCGACCCAGAAAGAGCATGACAAGAGGTTGAAGCAGGTGCTTGGCAGACTGCGGGACGCAGGACTTACTGCAAATGCAGAAAAGTGTAAGTTTGGTGTCTCTGAGTTGGACTTCATGGGGCACAGACTGACTAGCGAGGGACTCAACCCAGGATTGGCCAAGGTGAAAGCAATTGCAGAGGCCCGTGAACCCCAGACTGCAACTGAGATGAGAAGTTTCTTGGGGCTAGTCAACTACTGCGCAAAGTTCATTCCGAACTTTGCTACATTGGCAGATCCACTGAGAAAGCTGACCAGAAAGGACACGCCATTTCAATTCGGTCATAAACAGCGACAAGCGTTTAAGTCGCTAAAGGAAAGCTTGATGAGTGCAGAGACCCTGGGCTACTATGATCTAAATGCACCGACAAAGGTCATAGCGGATGCCAGTCCAGTTGGCTTAGGAGCAGTGCTGGTGCAGGTGCATGCTGATGGCCCGAGAATAGTAGCATATGCCAGCCGCTCGTTAAGTAACGTTGAAAGGAGATACTCTCAGACGGAAAAAGAAGCCCTTGGACTTGTGCATACCTGCCAACATTTGAAAATGAGAATTAAGAATTTTTAGCGCGGTATGTCTTCGAAAATAAGAAATCTGTACACTTAACAGGCGTTCGCACATGCAGCGGCAGTGTAACTGGCAATACGCGGTAAATCTGTGCAAAAAAAAGCGAATTTAATCATGCAGCCCTTCAACGCACGCAATACACGTGAACTCTAACATCGCGTAAAGGATAAAACAAGCTTAATTTGGCTTAAGCAACACAAACAAAAAACAAAAAAACAAAAAAAAAAAAAAAAAAAAAAAAAAAAATCGAAATTTTGAAGAAAAAAAAAGAATATTCCGGATTTTGGGGTCCTAAAAATCCAGAAAATGGAATATTCCGGATTATTCGGAAGGGTTGGCAGGTACGCTGAATTCAATTCGGTGTAGCGATTGTCCAACACAGCTCAGTTACGGCAACATTTGACATGCATCGATCAAACTATACACAGTACATGTACGGTACGCCTCGCCATCGCTGCCCCACTCCACTGGCACCGACTCACCTCCGGTACCGCACTGCAGCGTGCGTTCACTCTGTTTACCATAGTCCCGACACACTTCTTCCAAATACTGGATTAGACAATTGAAAAGTTAGTACGGTACGGTAAACTCCATGAATCCATCAAGCAAGCCTATTCCTTGGGATGGGAAGACATTATAAGTAAAACTGACAAACTTTTGCAAGTTTAGTAACCATTCACGATCACACGTCGAAGCTAACCCGTTCGCTCAAAATTTATCGCACGTGAAGCGTGCATGTTCTTGTACATTGCTTGTATGGGTGTGTGTGTGTGTGTACGTGTATGGAGAGTACATGCCAGGCTTACACACACACACATAATGCTGATCTCTACGCTTATAGATCAGTGGCACAAACACGCTGCAAAACCGTCATTACAAGCCAAATGAGCTTCCGCGGCCATCAACACACACACAGTATACTATACGAGAGCTCTCACACAAATCGCGGCAAATGGTAATACAAGCCCAATTTGGCTTAAATTTCCAAAATGCGGAATCTCCCGCATTTTAAGGTCCTAAAATTCCAGAAATGCGGAATATCCCGGAAAATGCGGGAGGGTTGGCAGGTATGCTTGTGTGGGCTTGTGAAAGATTCCATGCGTACCTGTATGGAATAGAGTTTGATCTAGTGACTGATCACAAACCGCTTGAAGTCATTTATTCACCGAGATCTAAGCCATGAGCGAGAATAGAGTGGTGGGTTCTGAGGCTTCAACAGTACAAGTACAGGGTAGTCCACATCGCAGGAAAGTCCAACATAGCAGATCCATTGTCAAGATTGCTGAAGGATGATCAACCGAGAGAAACTTCTGTGTTGGAAACAGAAGCAGAGAGCTTTGTGCGTTTTGTGGCAGTCTAGTCAACGCCAGGTGCGGTGACAACGAAGGAAGTCGAAAGAGAATCTGAACATGATCCTGAACTCGAAGTTATCAGAGAGTGTATTCACAGTGGACAATGGGATGATTGTCCATATCAAGCATACATTCCCATCAAGGATGAACTCTGTATAATTGGTCAGTGTGGATCTGTCATGAAGAGTCTAAGATGGCGGCGTAATCGGTCGTTTGGCGAGCCGTGACGTCAATGCATAAGGTCTATACGGCAATGCGTTTTTCGATCTACCCACTCCTGCTGTTGCTGCTATAGTGCTAGCTACTACTACTGTTTCCTAATGCCGGACAAGAGATTAAACTCCCCGTCCAAAAACGGTGGATCGACCGAGAAAAAACAAAGAAAGTTGCCCGTTGATTGTCAGCGATCCAACGCCATGTCTTCGCCAGCCGGCCCCGGCAGCTCCCTGGTGAGTGACGCGGCCGCTGCGGCCCCTGTTTGGTTCATAGAATATGAGAGGCGTTTGGATTCAAAGTTTGATGACCTGCATAAGAGACTGGATTTTCATGAAGCTGCTTGTGAAGAAAAGTTCCAACATCTGGAAAAGGAATTGGCTGCAGCTTTTGATAAGATTGACGACCTTGAGAATAGATCTCGAAGAAACAATCTAATCTTTTTCAACTTCCCTGAAGGTGAGGAGCCTGATTCTGCCAGTGGATGCAGTGAGTTGATTTCATCTTTTTTGGCCTCTATTGACAAGAATCTTGAGCATGTTCAGATCGAGAGGGCTCACCGCACGCCGCCAGGTCCACTATCATCTCGTGGACATCCCCAGAATGGCAGCCAGTACAAGCCGAAGGATCGTCCAATTCATGTTTGCTTCAGTTCGTTTCAAGATCGAGTGAGGGTCCGGAAGGCATGTGTTGCTGCGTTCAAGGAGGGGTTCAAGTTCAAAGAGAGATCAAAGTTGTATGTTGCAGAGGATTTCAGTCATCGCGTTCAGGCTCGCCGTAAAGCTCTCCTGCCTGAGTTAAAGATGTTGCAGCAACAAGGAAAGCGAGCATTCTTTGTATACCCTGCGACAATTAAGTATGTCCAAGATCACCAGCTGAAGGTTCACAAGCCAGGTGTTTGAATTGCAACTGTAGTACACCATAACAACACTGTGATTATCATAGTGGCTGTCTCGTACAAACCGTCTGACTTTCACAGAAAACTTTTATATTTTACAAGATGACATGCCTTGAACTTAACGCGTTTGAACTTGCTGGACACCAGATTAGTTTAGTGATGTCGGTCTTTTTAAACATATTTTGTTCACTTAAACTTTTTTAGGAATTCTCGGGGTGCCCTGGAGGTGCCTTGTTTTTGGTTACCCACGATTCACCATTGGGGATAATAGTTTTTATTGTTCTTATCCTTGTTGATACTGGTACATTATGATTAATTATGAGGCTCTAAGGTTTTCTCATTCTTGCCACATACTGTTGGCTGCCTTTACAGTTTGTTTTGTTTTTTGGTGGGTGTTTGTGTGTATGCTTTTTTCACTGAGTGTGTGGTGTGTGCCCTTTTCCCAGGGGTTCTTTATCATGAATCAAATTGTGTACATTTTTAGGATATTACTTGTTTTGTCAACTCACTGTTGCTACTCTAGGTTTTTACTGTTATATGATGTTACAGATTAATACTTTTAATTGCAGAGGACTGCATGACAACTTTAAAAGAAAGAAAGTTTTTAATTTTTTAAGAGAATTTGGGTATGATATAGTCTTTCTTCAGGAAACCCACTCTAGGATAGATGATGAGAAGCTGTGGCGTACTCAGTGGGGAGGGGAGGCAGTTTTTGGCAGCTATGGTTCCAATAGCCGAGGTGTGGCTATCTTGTTTAAAGCTTCTTTGAAAATATCAGTCTTATCTTTTCACCTGGATCCTGAGGGAAGATATATTATCCTCCATGTTAATGTTAATGATGTACACTTTATTCTTGTCAACTTATATGGCCCTAACAAAGACTCACCAGATTTTTTTGTTAATGTTTTTGCTAAGTTAGATGAAATAGGTAACTCTCATGTTATTTTAGCAGGAGATTTGAATATTGCGGTAGGCCCTTTAGACTATGAGGGTTCTAATGCAACCCACTCTAATGCTCGTGCCAAAATTGCTTTTAATATTTATGTAGAAGAACTAAGTCTTGTAGATGTATGGAGAAGAGATCATACTCATGATAAGATTTTTACACGCCATCAGAGAATTCCATTTGTTTCCTCCAGGTTAGACTATATTTTTATTTCTAGTGATTTGTTGAATTGCGTAAAGAAATCTAAAATTGTGACTGGTATTTGTTCTGATCATTGTATGGTAACACTAGCACTGTCACTAAATGATTCACCTCGGGGCAAGGGATACTGGAAACTGAACGCTGCACATTTGAAACATTCAGAATTTTGCAATTTCATTAAAGACAAAATTAATGAATTTAAGGAATTTCATGCTGAATGTGATCTAAATCCACATATTATTTGGGATGCATTCAAATGCACAATGGCTGGTCATTGTATGGAGTATTGCAGTAGAAAGAAAAAAGAAAAGAATTTGACTAAGAATAATTTACTAAAGAGTATATCCTTACTTAAAGAAAAAATTGGTTCATTGAAGAAGGATAATAGTTCAAATGAAGAACTGCAAGAATTATATAGCAAATTAGAAGTTGAAGAAGCACAGTTGAATGAACTTCTGGATACTGAAACTGCTGGCTCTATAGTAAGGTCTAGATTAAAGTGGGCTGAACACGGAGAAAAAAGCTCTAAATACTTCTGCAATTTAGAAAAACGGTCCTATGAAAGAAAAACTATACGCCAACTGAAGGCGAACAATGAGCAAATCATCACTGATCCTAAAAGAGTACTTCAGGAAATTCATTCTTTTTATAAAGCTCTATACTCTTCAGAGGTATCTCTTGAGGATAGGGACACTATCAAGGATTTTATCGCCCCTTTGAATATACCTACCTTATCAGATGATTCAATTTCTGCTCTAAACAGACCTTTAACCAAAAATGAACTTTGGACTACATTAAAGAATATGGGAACAAATAAGAGTCCAGGACTAGATGGCCTTCCTTGTGAATTTTATTTAACCTTTTTCAATGATATCATAGATTTATTACTCCACTCTTATAATTATTCCTTTCAAGAAGGAATTTTATCACAATCTCAAAGAAGTGGAATAATCACGCTTCTTCCAAAAAAGGGTAAGGATCCATTGTTAGTAAAGAATTATCGCCCTATCTCTCTACTGAATGTTGACTATAAATTATTAGCCAAAGTTATGAGCTCCCGTTTGAAGTCTTGTATAAATTCTTTGATACATACAGATCAACAAGGGTTTATGAAGGGACGCAACATTGGGGCCAATATTCGGGTTATAATTGATTTAATTGAATACACAGACTATATGAATGAGCCAGCTACAATTATTTTGTTAGATTTTGAGAAAGCGTTTGATAGAATAGAACATGATTATTTATTTTCAGTCTTGGACTATTTTAATTTTGGAGACAATTTTATAAGATGAATAAGGTCGTTTTACAATGACAGAACTAGCTGTGTGTTAAACAATGGTTTTATGTCCAATCCGGTTGCAATTAAAAGAGGAATATTCCAGGGGTGCCCAATATCCCCTCTTTTATTTATACTAGCTATTGAAATTCTGGCTATTTCAGTACGACACAATCCAGGGATAAAGGGAATTTCAGTTGGCAATTTTGAACAGAAGACAAGTCTTTTTGCAGATGACACAACTTGTTTTTTGAATGGGGAAACAGTTTCCTTTAAACATTTATTTGAAACGTTGACTCAGTTTGCAAAATTTTCAGGTTGTCACATTAATTTAAGTAAGTCAGATGCAATTCATATAGGAAAGCTGAAAGGCAGTACAGTTATTCCGCAAGATGCATTAGGGTTGAATTGGAAATCAAAAACGTTTAAGGCTTTAGGAGTGGTTTTCTCATTGAACACAAAAATGCTTTACGAACTGAATTTTGTTCCCAGACTTGTCATTATAGAACAGATTTTAAATTGTTGGAGGCATAGAAGCCTATCCTTGTTGGGCAAAATTGCTGTTGTAAAGTCGCTTTTACTCCCCCAAATGTTATTTTTGTTTTCAGTATTATGCATTGACCTGCCAAACTCCTTCTTTAAAAGATTAAATGGTTTGCTTTTTAAATTCATTTGGAGCAATGGCAATGACAGAGTTAAGAGAGATATATTATGCAATGATTATGAAGAAGGGGGTCTAAGGATGATTAATCCTTTAGTTTTTGCACAAGCGCAGAAAGTTTTGTGGATGGCTAAACTCTTAGACGATAAATATGAAAGTTGTTGGAAAACAATAGAAATATATATTCTTTCTACCTTTTGTGATGACCATCTTGTCCTTTTTAAGGCAGATGCCCCTGATTCGGTTTTGGAAAAACTTAAAAATTGCCAGTTAACAGCGTCTATTAAGACATGGTATTTATATAGGCAAGAGATGAAAAGAGAACTAGGTTTATGTCAGTTTCATTTACAAGATTTTATTTGGTGGAATAGAAATGTAAGATTGCAATATAAAACACATTTTTTCTATCCAGTTTGGTATGAAAGGGGTATTCATTCCATTTTTCAATTACATAATGGTTTTGGTAACCCCAAAACATTTGAAGACCTCGTAATTGAGTTTGACATTCCTATTAGAGACCAAAGAAAATATGACTCCCTCATGAATGGCATATTTTTGGAGTGGTTTGATAATTCTCTTAATGTGGATGAGAATATATTTAATCAAATTTTTAAAGATTTATTAAGTCAAAAGAAAATGTCTAAGTATACATACAATATTTTGCTAAAGAAATATAGTTGTACTAATGCCAAAAGGGAGAGTAAATGGGAGGAACTCTTTGGCCATCAACCCAAAGAGAAGGATTGGTCGATTATTCATACGAGTAACTTTTGTTGCACAATTGAGACTCAGTTAAGGAGTTTTTATTTCAAAATTTTCCATAATGCTATTGGTTTTAATGCATTTTTGTTCAAGATTGGGAGAAAGGAGTCTGCTAATTGTTATTTTTGTTCAGATTTTCCAGAAACTTTAGATCACTTGTTTTGTGACTGTAGGAGAGTTGTACCACTGTGGGAAAAATTGGTGGATAAGATTAACACTGGCACTGATCACAGTTATAATCTGACTCTGTCAAAATTTAATTTTTTGTTTGGGATACAGTCAAGGGACAAATACGCCTCCTGTATAAATTTTCTCTGTTTATGTTTAAAATATTATGGTATGGTATGGTATTTATTTCATTCTTCATAAAAAACATATACAATACATACAGAGTATTAAAAAAAAAAGAGAAATATATAAATACATGTAGAAGGGTAACATTACAGATAATATGAATACAATAAAAAATAACAAGGAAACTAGTTAAGAAAGAAAATTTATGTCGAATGAGGGGTCAACAAAAAAGAGCATTTAGCCTTGTTAAACGTTGACCCCTAAACAAGTACGTAATTAACATAACATTAAGAAGAAAAAGAAAGCAGGTAGAAACAGTAAAACGAAAAAGGAAAACATTATACAAAAAAATAACATATATATATATACTATGATATTCAGGTTGTTGAGTACAAATTTGATAAAAACAATCGGAAGGAACGTTTAAAACTATTTAAGGAAGGTTGATTCTTTAGATGGTTTGGAATCGTGCTCCATAGATGAGGACCTTTATAAAAAATAGTAAACTTTGAAATATTAGTTCTAACTTTTGGCAGATGGTATTCAACAGCATTACGTGTATTATAATTATGTATGTTACTATTTAAAATAAATTTTGATGTAATTGGAGATGGTAATAAGCCTCTAGAACACATAAACATAAATATTGCAATATTCAATCTATTAATGTCATAAACATTTAGGAGATTTAACTGGGAAAAGATTGGCAAAGTATGAGCATGATATGGTGAATTAGAAATTATTCTTATGGCTTTTTTCTGCAAAACAAATAGTTTAGTAATAAAATAATCATGATTGTTTGACCAAGCAATATTACAATAATTGACATGGGAGAAAATCAATGCATAATATAACATAACTAAAATATGTCTTGGAAAATGTCTCAAACGGTAAATAATGCCAACAGCTTTGGCAACACGATTGCATACGACACCAACGTGTTCATGCCATGTTAAAGATTCATCGATATGAACACCTAAAAATTTCACACAAGAAGTACGATTAATTTGATGACCATAAAAATTGATTGCAAAATTATCTTCAATACGTCGTTTAGTGAATACAATATATTGGGTTTTAGCAACATTCAAAACTAGTTTATTGTTGATCAACCATTCACTTAATTTATTTATTTCAGAATTGAATGAATCAACTAGCGTACGGAGATTATTATGAGACATGAACACGCTGGTATCGTCTGCAAATAATATAAAATGTAACAAATCAGATGAACTCACAATATCATTAATATAAATTAAAAAAAGTAAAGGACCAAGTATTGAACCCTGGGGCACTCCACAACGAATGGGCAAATATGAAGATTGTTGATTTTGAATAGAAACAAATTGTTGACGATTTGATAAATAATCTTTAAATAATTGCAAAAGAATTCCACGAATACCATAAGCCTCTAATTTACGTAACAAAATTACATGATCTAAAGTATCAAAGGCTTTACTTAAATCAAGAAATAAACCAATTGTGAACTGTCTAGAATCAATTGCATAAGAAACTTTATCAATGAAATTAAGAAGAGCAGTCGTTGTGGAGTGTCCCGTTCGGAAACCATGTTGATTTTCAGACAAAATATTGCACGATGTTAAGAAAGTACTTAAACGCTTATATAAACACTTTTCAAAAATTTTAGAGAAAATAGGGAGGACAGAAATAGGCCGGTAATTATGTACATTAGTGCGATCACCACTTTTAAAAACTGGAATAACTTTGGCTATTTTCATTTGATTAGGAAAAATACCAGTTGACAAACAAGAATTGAAAATAGAACAAAGAGGTACACAAATCAAATGTATAATTTTCTTGACAACAGTAATATTAATATCATCATAACCAGCACTGGTACCATTCTTCAAACAACGAACGATATCGATAATTTCTTTACATGATATAGGAGTAAAATATGCTGATTTGTCATTAACAAATACATTATTATTGTAGAAACTGTTGGAATATTGCACATTGTTTGTCAGATTGAAACCAATATTAACAAAATATTCATTAAAGCTTTTAGAGATATCTTCTTTGTTTGTAATTGTGGAACCATTTACATCAATTTTTTCAACACAATGTTTGACAGATTTCGTACCAAGTTCTCCATTAATAGTCTTCCAAATTAGTCTAATATCACCCTTATCATGATTAAATTTATCCTTAAAATATTGATATTTAGCTTTCTTAATTTCATTTGTAACTTTATTTCTGTATTGTTTGTAAACTCTTTTCCTATATTCAGTTGAATTTTTCAAAGATTTTTCATACAATTTCCATTTCTTTTTAATTTTTTTCATCAATACTTTATTTATCCATGGTTTATGCTTACGTCTATTAACATTTATTTCTTGCAAAGGAAAGCATTCTTCATAAATGCGAATAAATTTTGACAAAAAGCAACTATAGCTCACATTACAATCACTTGATTTCAAATTCCATCTGACATTTTGCAATCGTTTACTGAATTCAAAAATATTACTATCATTAAACTGTCTTTTGCTTATTACATATTTCTTTTCCTTGATTTTATGATGACAAACACTAAATACAGGAAAATGATCTGAGATATCAACTAAAATAGCACCGTTTAATTTATTGGTAACATCATTAGTAATAATATTATCTAATAAAGAAACACAACGATCGGTCACCCGAGTAGGGTGATGAATGAGTGGATACATAGAAAAAGTTACCAGCATATTTAAAAAGTCATTAGCTTTATGACAAGATGTGGTATTTAATAGATTAATGTTGAAATCTCCCATCAGATATACAATTTTATTCTCTGTGTTTATTTTATGAAGAGCTGAACCAGTTATATCTAAAAATTCTTGCACAGACTGATCAGGTGGCCTATAAATTACTCCTATAATTATGTTCTTATTACATACATTCTCTATTTCAATAAATATACTTTCTATTACTCCATTGTTAATATCTAAATCACCTCTATGTTTATGAATCAGATTTTCCCGAATGAACACACCAACACCCCCTCCTCTCCTCTCAGCTCTACTATTATGTAAAAAGCTAAAACCTTGAATATTGCACAATAATGAGTTGTCTTTCAGCCAAGTTTCAGTTACGCCCATAACAGAAAACTGAAAATTCAGACTATTTAACAAAGCAGAAATACCATCAAAGTTACTTAGAATACTACGACAATTCATATGTAATATGGAAAAATTTGTCGAGTTCAAAGAATATTTCAAAAGGGTAGAATTAAGGTCATCAGGCAAATAAAAAGATTGATCTATTCCAAACGTCTCATTATCTCCAATCATAGGTGACAAAATATGGGAAACTGTACTCAAATCAACATTACTGATCGCACGTTCATATGATGCCCGAAGGGTCATCATTCACACGTATACACATAAATACACAAGAATAAATATTCACAAAACCAAAGTTATTACTACTATTACATTGAAGAAAAAAAAATTAAAAATGTTCCAGGAGTACAGAGTACTGCAGATTTGGAATGCACCACAGTAATTGCATGATTGATAACAATGGGGAAATGGGTCTCTGTAGAGTCAGTGATAGCTTCAGTGCTAGAGAAAAGTCTTTAATGGTCACTTTAAGTCATTTTCGCTCGTAATTAATCGTTTAATTTGTTTGCCTCCACTCGTTGGGAAGAGGCCGAGTATTCTGCCATCGGAAGACCATGCGGTAAGTGTCTTCTCACAATTTTTCGCTTTTGCTAGTAAGTTAGCGTTTGTCTTGGTAAGGTCCTCGTCGATCCCCATTCTTGTGCCTTTCAGTTCGCGTCGCTTTGACAAGACAAGACTCCGCATACGGTACGACACGAATTTAGCGATGATGACGTCAGGTTTTGTTCCGTCATTGCGTTTGTTGCTTCTTGTTGAACGGGCAGGGGGATTCACAGATTCCGTAGTCTTTGTAGGCAGGCGGTGTGATCGTTCGATGTCCTCTTTCTTCAAGGTCACTTTGAGCCTTTCTCGAGCAAGCTCACAAATGAGGTCATCAGTGTCCTTTCCCTCTTTGTGTGCGACACCGTAAAAACGCAAACAATTGCGTCGCGAGTATTGTTCTTGGATGTTGGCTGTGCGCTGGACCCTGGTCAGCGATGATTGTTGGTCTTCAATCAACTTTTTTAGATCAACGATCTCCTTCTCCCTTTCATTGAAAATTACATTTACTCATGTAGGTTTCAGGGAAAAGAACTTATTTTCGAAGCATTTGTTTCAATGGTAAAGTTCAAACAAAAATAGAATATAAAATTGCCCAAAAGAAAAATAAGTTACAAGTCCATTTTAAGAAATTTTAAGAAGTTTAACTGAAATTTAGGAGTAGTCTTGCAAAGCTCTGTTGTCATTAACATCTTCATTGGCTTTTTGAACTGTAAACTTGCCCTCTGGGAAAGTATATGCGTGTGAGTGTGTGTGTGTGTGTGTGTGTGTGCGTGTTTATGGGTGCATGAGTGCGTGCCTGTTTTGTAGTTTTAAGATGATATTATATTTTATATTGCTGCTTTTACTCTGTTAATTTTTCAGAAAAAACAATAAAAACAGAAAGAAAAAAAAAAAAAAAAAAAAATTGGTCAGTGTGTGCTGAGAGGTAGCAGATTGGTGATTCCACAGGCACAGAGGCCAAAGATGGTGTCATTAGCTCACGAAGGACACCTGGGCATTGTTGGCACCAAACAGAATTTGAGAACCAAGGTATGGTGGCCAGGATGTGAGAAAGATGCAGAGAAATTCGTCAAGACTTGTCATGGTTGCCAAATCACAAGCAGGGGTAATCCACCAGAACCAATTCGAAGTACTATGGTGCCAACAGGACCTTGGGTGGATGTAGCTGTTGATTTCCTAGGACCACTTCCGACAGGAGAATCTATACTTGTGGTAGTTGATTATTATAGCAGATACTACGAGTATGCAATCATGAAATCAACCACTGCAAAGACAGTCAAAGCCCTGGCTGAAATCTTTGGCAGACATGGGTTACCTGTGACGTTATACTCAGACAATGGACCCCAGTTCATCTCAGAAGTTTTCGCAGAGTACATGAACATTACAGGAATTCACCACCATCGGGTGACTCCTAAATGGCCCCAAGCCAACGGCGAGGTCGAAAGACAGAACCAGAGTATAGTAAAAAGGCTTAGAATTGCACAGGCAGAAGGCAAGGATTGGAAGGAGGCCTTGCTAACTTACGTCGCAGTCTACCGGGCTAGTACTCATTCGACAACGGGAAAAAGCCCGGCAGAAGTGTTGTTCGGGAGAAAGATCCGAACTAAACTACCACAAATCCAGGACATTAGTGAGGATCAGGAACTCAGAGACAGGGACCTCCAAATGAAAAGTGGTGCAAAACACTATGCAGATCTGAAGAGGGGAGCCGTACATTCTGACATAGTGCCAGGAGATAAGGTGATAGTAAGACGTGATGAAAGGAGGAAACTAGACACGCCATCCTTTAGCCAGCCATACACAGTGACAGCAAGAACAGGAAGTATGGTAACTGTGAAATCTCCTGACGGAGTCCTGTATAATAGGAATGTATCAAGTGTAAAAAGATACATGTCCCGAGACACTCATAATGAAGCTGCCAATCCAGAGAGGACAGACGGCAATCCTGAGGCGGTGACCGGTATTCCTGAAGGGTCGGACGGTAATCCTGAGGCGGAGACCAGTACTCCTGAGGCGGTGACCAGAGATCCAGACTCAGAGGCAGCGAGCAACACATCAGGCGGTGACCAGAGACATCAAGATGGTGATACCCAAGCAGAGACAACAAACACCAACGTTCCTATGGCAGCTAGTAGACCACAACGCCAGAGAAGATTCCCTAAGCGATATGATGATTTTGTGTGATTCCAGATCAATATGGTGGGGATGAGCTCTTTGTAAAATAGCGACAGTGATATATGAAACTACATGTGCCAAGGAGAAATGTTTGGAAATCATTGGTTGAAGCCAAGTTATGATTTAAAGGGTGTACGCCTTGCGCTGCCCATATTTGTGAAATCGACATGTTGGAGAAATCACCATGGAAACCAAGCGTACGAGGAAGTTGTGTTATGTGCTAAAATAATAAGTTCTGATATATATGTTTCAATATTACACATTAATCAATGTAAAAGGGTGTACGCCGAACGCTGCCCTTATTGTATGTGATAGGTCTGGCGAAAAACACAAGTTTGAGTTGGAGCATCGATCAGTTTTCAAAAATGGATTCAATCATCGAAGAGAGTATTTCCAGAAACTTCAGTTTCAGCTAGTTGTATGAATGCTTGGAGATAACAGATGATTTACACAAACTCAAAACTAGAACTCAAATAGTATCCAGTGAACAGTTGAACTTTTATTTGGACCACAGACTACATGTAGATGCATGAAAGATATTGCATGAAAGATATTATATTGCATGTTATGTTTTATGTTGTTCAACAAAGTTGTTTGGAAGATAAAACATTTGGGAAAAGTTTATCGACCAGATAAATTTGTTGTTTGTTAGAAGTTGTTCTTTAAAAAAAAAAGAAAAAAAAAAAAAAAGAAAAGGAAGAAACAAAAGCAAATGCACCAAAGCATGTTTATTTCAGTAATTCACATATGGCTGAAACACAAGAACAAAAGAAATATTACAAGAATTTTCAGTGAAACTATAGTATAAAAATAGACCAGGATAAAGTTTCATTCTGGCAAAGGAGGGATGTCATGATAATGAATATGTATCAGATTATGCAAATGTGACACCTGTGACCTCAGAAGGTCAGATCGCATGTGCGCGATGTATATGGGATACGCGTGACTTGATACCCAGTGCGGGGAATAAACACCAGACTATGGTTTATGGAATTCAACTACTTTGTTAGTTTGTTTGCACTTAATATGTGACACTGGGGTAGATTGATTAGGAGGGCATTGCCAAAATCAAGACGGGAGGAAATCAGAGCATGAACTAATTTTTCGGTGGCAGACTTGGACAAATATTTACGAATAAAACCGATATTACGCAATTGGTACCTTACTGATCTACAAATATTAGAAACTTGGTCAGACATTGTCATATGTGAGTCAAACATAACACCGAGATTGCGACACGTTTGTGACAAGTGAATTATGTGGCCAGAAAATGAAATGCAATTGATATTAACTTTACTAAGCTGTACTTTGGAACCAAATATAAGGAATTTACATTTGTCTAAATTTAATTTCAAGGAACGTGCGAGCATCCATTCATGAGCATCAGCCATGCAAGATTCAAGGCGATGAACGGCTCGTTCTGCAGCGGCTTGATCTGAATTGAAGGAAATCATAAGTTGAATATCGTCTGCATAAATATGATAATCTATGCCATGTTGTAACAAAACTTGTCGCAATCCAATTAAATAAATTGAGAAGAGAGTAGGCCCGCCCACAGAACCCTGTGGTACTCCACAAGAGAGAGGCAAAGCAACTGATTTGCAACCATTAATACAAACGATCTGAGAGTGGTATGACAGATAAGACTCGAACCATTTGTGTGCCTCACCCATTACACCAAGTGAACTAATTGTGTTCAAAAGGATAGTGTGATTAACGGTGTCGAAGGCGGAGGACAAGTCTAGCAGCAGGAGAGCAGTTGGGTTACCCCTATCCATCCCTTGCAGGATATAGTTGGACACATTTACAAGCAGTGTTTCCACACTATGATGGGATCTGTAACCTGACTGGAAAGGGTCGAACAAATCATTGTCCAGAAAATAATCCGAAAGACGAGAAAACACAACCCTTTCAAGAATTTTGAACAAAAAAGGTAGGTTTGAAACTGGTCGATAATTTTGGAGGGAATTTCGGTCCAGAGAAGGTTTCTTCAACAACGGAGTAACATGAGCTATTTTCAATGAGGAAGGAACATGTGCCTGCTCTAAACTCAAGTTAATCAAGTAAGAAAGGATGGGAGCGAATGTGGAGGAACAGTCCATTAATAATTTAGTGGGAACAGGGTCTAACTGACATGATTTGGGAGGTAGTTTACGTAAGAGTGACATAATCTCCTTAGGGGTAGTAGGTTGTATTACTTCAAAGAGGAAGTAAGGGCATGGTGTGGTGTTTCATCAGGTGATAAACTGTCGCAGATGGTCTTGACTTTCGTCTGGAAGAAGTGGATGAATGTAGAGGCCATTTGCTGGCTGTCCGTGTGGGCAGAACTTGTGCCACCTGCAAATTATTGTTCTAGCATAATGATGAGGTAATTAAACTACTCTAATATTTTGATGTCAGATCTTAAAGCTGATATTCTAAGCAAATAAATGTCCCTTAATTTGGTACCTACGGCAATCATATGTTATTTATAAGATTTTCAATTACATAGTATATCACAAAAAAATTCTGGCTACTCGAAATCCTTAATTGAAATGTCGAAAATATCCGCCTCTCTTTGCATAGAAAATCAGTCACGGCCTACTATTATGACATCACGTCCAGAAAAGAGTATTCACGTACCCGGATGTTCAATAGAAAGCATGTGCAGAGTGATACGATTTTCGGCTTATTTTTGTTTCAAAGGCTGAAAAGTCTAATAAATCATAATTCTATGTACAATTCTTTACCTTCCCCTAATATTTCATAGTATTAATATCAATAACCCCCTTTAAAAATTATGACATAAACATGCCAACTTAACGATGTGCCATTAGTCGATATTTTCACCATGTAATTTTTGTTTTGGTGTTGAAATCGGCCCAGGCACGGAGTGAACAGTATAATAGCTGTCTGGTAAGTGGACCCATGCACAGTTCATTACCATACAGCGATCGCCCGATGGTTTGTTCTTCCTTTTTCCCATGTCTTTCGCCTTCTTTGGCCCTGAAGATCCTTCATCTACCAATTCTGACACGGGTAGTCAGGAGCAAGTCTTTGTTAGTTGTTTATCTTAGCTGGTACGTCGCTTTCATTCTCTTGCAATTGCCGATAAACATATAACTAGCGCACGTACGTTCCATCACAAGCAAGCAGCGCCTAGAGCAGCGGCCTGGTCTTACCTCCCGGTTCTGCTCGCTTCACAAACGTTCGTGCAAGAGCCGCATCACTCGCGGGTGAATGTCGTTCGATCAATAGACGTTGTCAAAATATTATAGAGGAAGCGCGCTTGCATGATCTCGTTCAAGTTTGATATTTTACAACATAAAACGTTTAACTGGTACTGTATCCTTTTTTGAGGCAGTCACACATATCTATGATAAGTATTATCATAGTTCTAGGCCTATTCGTTTTACAAAACTGCTGCTGTACCTGATTTGATGACAAGATAATGCACCCACCTATTCATATGTGCATGATTTAACCTTGTTTCCCAAGCAGTAAACTTGTCTTAAATCTCTACCAAATAGGTGAATATGAGGATATAAAAAGAAATCAGCGACTGGAAAATGTTGCTTCGTTATTCTTCATTCAAATGAAAACAGAAAATCCATCAAATATACTCCCTAACAGCAACAAATCTAAGCTCTGACAGGATAGCATTTACGTAGGGATATCACTGCCATTCACTCTCACTGAGCCGGCCATGAGTCCCGTTCGTGACGTCACGGATAGAGGCCCGACTCTACATGCACTTCCGGGTGTCAGACTAAATAGTTTGGTAGAGTTTACTTGCATAAATTCACCATTCTAAACTTGTTTTTATCAGTTGGACACCATTTAGTGTTATTCTGGGGGTTAAAAGCTTTCTATTGATGTAATTATCTCAATATTTGGGATTGTCTTAGAGTATCAACTTTAACTAACATGAAATAGATATACCCAAAAAAATTATCAACAATAGATTTAGATTTCTACTTAGTAAGGACCTCGCAGACCCATTCTCGGACTTGGAAGACTTGCTCTTCTTCTTGCGTGGTGCTTTAGAAGGTTGTGTTTTCTGATTCCTAGAAAAATAATTTGAGATACAATTTAGCCTAGACCTAAGTACCACATCAAAACATTATATCATGCAAGGCAATATAATTGACAGACGTATGGTAAAAAATCTGAAATTTCTACGTGGATTTATTGAAATCATGTTTGTTTACATTCACGCATTCACTAACCATGCTAACAGACACTATAGTCACTGCACTTGGGAATTCACTACACTTCACTCAGAAGTTGTGTAGAGTCTAAATCTAGTGACTAGTCGCTACATACAACCTCAACACTACATGGGAATATTGATACGTAAAATAACATTCTATACTATGCAGTAGCATTATATTCAACAACAGACACAATAAAAATCTATATATCATAATATAATTAAGTTTCAGAAATAAACGTACCTTTTCAGCTGTTTTCTGGGGCCAGTTCCGCTCGTCGATGGTCCGTCATTCGACAACAAACTCGTATCTCTACGAGTGGGACTAATAATATTTTGAAAATTTGTCGGGCTCATTTTCTTGGGAAGAATCACTAAAATGGGATAAGGAGGCATCGGAGTATGAGGAGTCACTATCTATTGATGAAATTTCATCGCTAAAATAATTGCTGGAAGACATTTTGGTGTGATTTGGAGACGTTTGATGAACGAAAATCAGCAAAAGTCCGATGCGCACAACAGTGGGGAAAAAAAATAACGGGTCTTTTTCAAATTACGTAGGGGTACTTGCGTACTGTCCTCTACGTTGAAACTTTACACACACATAGAACGGGAATATCTTGATCGAATGCTTTTTTTTCTATTAATAAAGGAAAAAAAAAGAGGAAATTTCTATGTGTACATTTTCTTTTTACACATGGTTTATGTATGGTTATCTTTGAGTGCACTAGTCAGTACTATAGTTTGTAAATAAAATCAAGAATATTAAAGGGGCACGTTCCCGCCAGTGTAGTTATCGCTGCTCTAGTCATCGCCATCTTGGTTCCGAAGATCGACTTCTAATTTGCATACAGCTGTCAATCAAAGTACGCGCGTCCTGGCCTGCCTTCGCCAAGCCAGCTGATCGCTGCCGATCGTGACGTCACGAAAGTGGGCGGAAACAGCAGCCGAATCTTGGAGCCGAACTGCGATTGGTATTACTTCGGCACATGTATGCGCTAATCGGCATTGTGCGGGCATTCAGAACATGCCATCTGCGTAAGAGCCGTATTCTGTTGGTGTCAATAGGC